TAGCCACCATCTCTAGCAGGGCAGACTAGCCTAGGCTCCTCTAAGGCCAGTCAAAACTGTCCCAGGCTCAGTGTTCCACAGCTCCTAGACACATCCTAGATACATCTTGAGACATCAGACAAGCAGAAATTCTGAGCTGAGTAGGCAGCTCAACTCCAGCCTTTTGCTGGGCTGGCAGATACACTGTCTCATAACATGCATGGTTTGTTGGGTTTTTTTTATAGTTACATGCTTGCTTGTTTTATAGTTTGTTCTTATAACACTCCTCTGTCAGTTTGTTGTGTGAAGGGGTGGCTTGTGCATTGCTGTTTACTTTCTACTTTGTATGTGTTGTTATTGTGTTCCTTAGAAGTAGAACCAACTCACAGCTACCCCTCTAGTGGGTTTTCAGAGGCAGTAAATCACACAGAAGATTGCTCATCATTCTCCCAAGAAACAGCTGGTAGATTTGAACAACTCACCTTTGGGTTAGTGGCACAAATCCTGTACCACTAAGCTACAAGAGCTGAACATGCCTTTTTATAATTTGCTCTAATGAACTTGTCTGTCAGTTTGCTGTACTGTGAAAACTTGCATGTTGCTGCATGCTGGGAGCAATGCCATTAGTCTTTCAGATACCAGTAGAGTCATCCATGGTGGATGGGTTTATAGGAGCTTCCAAACTGAGACAGGCCTGGCCATCCAGCAAACAGGACAGACCTTTTGAAATAATAGATCCTTAAGTGATTGGGGGTGAGGGTAGGGAGAAAAATGTGCAACAATGAATGACTGGAAACCCAAGTTCTTTATAAACTTCATTAAAATATCAGTTAAAAAATGGTAAAAAAAATAAAAAAGATAAGCTTCACAGTAATAAGACCTTGTGGGTCTTATACTTTGTTACAAAACAAAATGTATATGAATGATTGCATGAAAACCCAGTATATGTTGTAAACTTTCACTCCGTTAAAATAAATAAGATAAAAAGAAGAAAAACTAATAGACCCTTGAAAACGCTACGTAGAATGAGGGAATGTTAGAGGGACATTATTGGATATTGTGCTGGAAATGAACTCCTTTAGATTGGAAGGCACCAAAACAAACAAACAAACAAACAAAAACAGCCCAACCCTGAGATGCAATTGCTAACATCCATTACTAATTGAAATACAGGGAAAAAAATGAAGTATGACTCTAGGAGAATTAGAAGTCGTAAAAGAATTAAATGTACTCATGAAGATTGACATTGTGGGCACTAGAGCTGAGATGGACTGGTATTGACCATTTGAATCAGGCAACATATGATCTGAGAATGAAAAATTGAAGAGAAATGGTGTCACTTTCATTGTTACAAAAAAAGCCGTTTCACGATCTCTCCTGAAAGATACTGTGAGTGATAGGATACTATCCACATACATTCAAGGAAGACTAGTTATGAGGATTTTTACTTTCCTTTTGATAAGGGGCAGTCCACACTGTAATAATCTTTGATAAAAAGAGGTGCATCAGGTCCTCCTCACTCTTCAAATATATATATATACCTTTAACAAACCTCTCTAGACTACTCCAAATAAAGGCAAAATCAGAATTCTTTTGGTATTTACAATGTTGAAGATCAGGTATTTGAGCGCCCCCCCCCAAAAAAAATGTTTGCCTATAGAATTTTATTTCCTTCATTGTCTGCCAGAGGGTTGCATAAGTCTCTCTACAATCCCAACACTCTCAGAGCAAGGGGCACACACAAGTAGTGAAGAGACAAGACTCTAAGTGGAAATACAATTGTATTTCTTTTTATTATACAGAATCACGTAAGTAAAAATCAATAACAATCTCCAGGTAAAATGATTTGATCTGATTTGGTGCCATTCTTTCTGTATGCATAGCATTCTAAATTAAAAAATCAACACACATATGTCATATTTCAAAAGTTAAAGTACTAGCACATAAATGATGTAGTGTGTTAGGGAAATGGTCTCGGTCAACCACCCATTTTCGCAATTGAATTGACAGTTCCCTTTTTAAAAAACTTTTTTGTTCTCCTCCATAAAAGTTGCACTTGCAGAAATTACTTTCTAATTACATCATGAGAACACTACTTTTCTCCCGCCAGGTCATCTTCTTCTATAAAGAAGTCTTAAAGCAAGGTGTTGACATGCAACCTCCAGCACATTCAATTTTTTGTGTGTTTTGTGTGCTTCTAAATGTGGCATAACCAGTGAAGGAAAAAATCCTAAATTATATGGTGAAATACTGTCTGAATTATTCAGACGTAACAGAACTACAAATAGATATTGACAATGTATATACTTCAAGAAAATATATCTTCTTTTTTTTTTTTTTTAAATATGGGAACCAAAACCTTCAAAGAAAGATCTCTGAAATTATTTTCCAACTTCACTTTCTAATTCCTTTTCTATGGCAAAAATCATTTAAAAAAAGAGGAAGTTTATTGATTCATATAGGAATAAAAGGACTAGATAACCATGGTAGTTGCTTTACAATAAGAAATGTAATATAAATAGCACCATACTGTGGCTTCCTCAGGGAATTTTTTACTTGCTCTACAGGAAATAACCATTAAGAAACCTTACTTCAGTTTCTAGATTTAGTGTTCTTTGACAAAGTCCATACCTTATAGCTTTAAAACACAAATAAAAAGTAGTATATCTGGCTTTATCTAATAGTAAACATATAGTCAAGGTCTATGGTTTATTTTTGAAAAATAATTGATGTTCATGAATAAAAGTTCTAAATAACTTCACTAGAAAAAAATCATCTAGTATTTTATAATTCCATCAGCCTTTTAGAGAATTACTTCTAAAAATCAGCAATGCAAAAATCATCCATGTTTTAACTACATTTTCGTTTTAAAAAAAAGAGTATCTGTTTCTTGTGTTTAAAAACCTGAAAATGCATCTATAAAAATATTTCTTAAAAAATACAGTAACACTGCTCAGTTTTGTTAGGTCCCTTGTTGGTTTTGCGGATTTTTTTTCCCTCAGAAAGAATGTACAGTTCTCTGCGATTATTGCTAATAAAGAAGAAAAAGAACAGCGCTCCCGTCAATTCTGTAGCAACACAGAGATCTACGTCATCGGTTGCAGAGGGTTTAGAGAGAAAGGAGGGGGATCCTTTAAACCCCGAAAGCCTGGGGCCCTTCAGGAAAGAGAAATCACTTCATTACTGGAAGTCACAACAGACTCACGCTGTCACCCACTATGTGTCCAGCAACAACGCGTGCAGGACAAGGCCAATCCCACCCTTCTCCTCCCACATAAAGTGCACCGAAGCCTTCTTTGTTTCTACAGCAGAGTCTTTGGGGATAAAGGCCATAGTGGGAAATGGTGGCGTTTGTTCTTTCTGGCACCTTCCGCTGTTTTGCTTTGCGGGGACTGTGGCTTTTCTAACTTCATTTCCCAACTAGCAGCCTTCTAACTACATCCCTTAACTTCACTACTTCATCTCTGACCTTTTCACTTGCCTTCTTCCCAACCCTATTAAAGGTATTTTGCATATCTATAGTCATACTGAAGATCCGTGTCCCCAAATAAACCCCCTTGGAAATAAAATTGTTCCTCTCAGAGACCTGAATTATTAATGTCTTCCAAAACAATGCATTTTTTAAAAATATTAAATTCATAGGTTATAAATAATGTCAGTTGGAAAAAAAATTAAGCAATGGAGGACTTCATTGGCATGGCAGGAGGGCTGCAGTCCAGGTGAATTGATGCTTCCTCAGTCCTTCAAAGCTGTTCAAACAGCATCCTTGGTTATATAAGAGGTATTGAGTACATATTTCAGGCCTTGTCAGACCAACTGCAGCCAACAAGGTCAGGACAGTATAGTTAGAGATCCGTCTGCACTGAATTCAGAGGCACAAATCTCCACCTTATGCCCCCAGGGGCATTTTTTACATGTTGGTCAGAGATCTGCTCATCCTTCAGTTTCATAGATAAGATCATTTCAAACATTTGAAATCTCCAGAAGAAGCAAAATGGCCAGGCTTTAGAATTCAAAAAGCAACTGCTTATTGCAGTTACCATCAGGCTAGAAAGCTCTGGTGTCCCAATGTTACAGAAGCACTTCAAAAGTCAAAAATACACTTGCCACATGATTTATCAAAAATATTTGGCTGTCTTTTGCCATAAGCTACAAAATTAGAGTGCTTTATAATGTCCACAACAAATTCTAAGCTGCACTTGTTTGTTTTTTTTAAAAAATAATCCTAGTTGCAATTTTTAAGAAATTGTGCTTGATAAATGTTCAGAATTAGTACCAAAGTGGTGTCTTTCTTAAGATACGCAGTGTGAGTCCTCACACTTCAGTGAATGCAGCTCCTACTCTCCCATCGGAGGTCTTGTTATTTAGATGCTCAGCTTGAGAAGGATGATGGCCAAGCTGCCACAGGCCTGTCTGGGCCCTGAAAAAGACAAGCACTAAGAGCTATCCGAGCCAGGAGAGACTGAAAATTCCATTGTTCTCCCAACAGCAGAATGTTCGTATCCATGCAATGCTTTTTAAAGCTCAAGTTAAATATTTCTTAAAGCTTCTCACTCTACTGTCATTAATATGGTTTTTGAAATGGCAAATTGGGCCTAGTTTTGCGCACACATTTCCTGGACCAAGCCACTCATCAGAAATCACTGTCTGTGGTCAGCAGTTTTAATGGTTTGTAATCACGTGACTCACAGATTTCAACTACCAGTCATATAGCTTAGTCACGGCACAGCAGAGGGAAAGAAGGGGCAGTCATTCTGCAAAATCAATCCTGCAGAAACAAGACTGCCCACAGGGCTGCAGGCTGGCAGGAAATGAAAATAGAATGTTGGCAATTTGAACTTGAATTACTAGCAACCGAATCTAGGCAATGATTTAACTGGCCTTGAGGAAAAGACAGAGCGAGAGTCATGGAGGCAGAACCAGGTGCACCTGCAGACCAGCTCTGACCCATCACTTTTTCCAAGAAAATGAGACTCAGGAAAGATCAGGTCGCAGCTGCATCCAGGCTACAGTGGCACCAATTAGAGCCAGGTTAGAAAGGGCTCGTTTTTGTTCAGGGCCGACTCCACATCATTGAAGAGAGGGATTAGATCTTCAGATTCCAGCGTTCCCAGGTCAACGTTTGTGGCCGGAAGACAGTCAAGAAAATCCGGGAAGCGAGTCTGCTGGGGGTTGATGTTCATAGGGACCTGTGCCACGTTCTCTCCTGGAAGAGAGTGAAAAGGAAGAGATGGTAATTGTTTTATTTCAGTTCTTGAAAAAAGGAGAAGTTCAGAGATTGTGTAGCAATGAAAGAATTTTACTTTTCAAAGAGAAGCACGAACTGGCGGTGGGCGGGGGAGGTTGGGCAGGGAGAAAAGTGCAACAATGAATGAATGGAAATCCTAAGTCTCTGTGAATTTTCATTAAAATTAATAATGATTTAAAAAGGAGAAGTTCAAATATCAATATCACATTTCTGTTTACTTCCACTATGCCTATATTTAAACAGAAGATTACATTTGCTACAGGTCTGGAAAAACAAACAAAAAAATTGTCGCTGTGGTGAATTTCAGTCTCTGGTTGGCTGCTGGCACTCATAGGAGACAGAGCTGGGAGGAGAATCTTTCCTAGGCTTGTTTCCATAGACCATTCCTTTATAAAAGCCCAGCATGGCAAGTTCCAGGAGATGGGAAGGGAGCATGCAGAAGGCATTGTGAATCCTATGTGTAATCTGAGCCTTTCCCAGACCGTGAAGACCTATGGGGTGAAAAAGTGATGAGGCCTTGCCTGCAATAGAGACCTGGTTACAGACCTGTAATCCGAGGATTTAACATGAAGCTTCTATCTACCCACATTATCATCTGTATCTTCAAAGACAAGAGTGCAGGAATTTGTTTCAACTGTTGTTGTTGTTGTGTGCCATCGAGTCACTTACGACTCATAGCGACCCTATGTGCAACAGCCCTAAACCCTGCTCTATCTATCCTGTGCCAGTCGCACTGCCTCTGACACACCCATCCTGATTGCCCCAGTCACTGAATCAATCCACCTCATAGAGGGTCTTCCCTTCCTACGTCATCCCTCCACCCTCCCAAGCATGATGTCCCTCTGCAAGGACCTGTCCCTCTTTACAACATGTCCAAAGTATGTCAGATGAAGCCCCAGAATCCTTGCCTCCAAGGAGCAGCCTGGTTTAAGCCTCTCTGGGATGAATCTGTTTGTTTTCTTGGCAGTCCAGGGTACAGTTAATACTCTTCTCCAGCACCACAGCTCAAAGGCATCAATTCTCCTTCTATCCTCCCTAGTCATTGTCCAAATCTCACTATATTATTAAAAACTCCAGCTCTAAATGTCATTTTCAAAATCTTGGAGAAAGTGGGTCCTGCAAACCTTCTTCTCTTCTCCACACCCCGCACCCCTTCTCCACACCCCTACCTCTTCTCTATACCCCGCACATCTTCTCCACCACCCACCTCTTCTCCATACTCCTCCCTCATCCCTATGTACACCTCCCAGAGGATCACAATGCATACAAGCACACTAAGGTTCTGGGGGGTCCTACAGGAAAGACACTGAGTTTCTTTTAGTTAACTCAGCATTTCTTATACTATTTAGTTATCCATTTCTACTTAAGATAACTTTATTAATATTCTAATGAATTAGAGCTCTGAAAAGCATAGTTTAGAAAACACTGCACTAAAGAGAGTTTAAGTTATGGGATTTTCACATGGGGAAAATAGATGTTCTTTGCATGTTAACAGAATGGGAGAAAATAAATTTGAAGCTAGTTAAATGAGCTTTATATCTGTGTTGCAAGACACACTTCTCAGTTTCCTCAACTGTAAAATGGGTTTCTTTTTCAAGAATTTGAGTGGCTTTCTATATTGTGTCTAAGGCACATATACCACGGGAGAAGGATGGGCAATCTCCTCATGTGCAATTAACTGTCTCTGAAAACCCACTGGAGGGTCAGCTATGGGTTGGTTCTGCCTCGACACAGTACACAACAACAATAACAACAACAATGCACAAACATGCTCTAGGTATCATTCATGCATACAAGCAATCATACATAAAAATACCAAAAAATTTTTGAATAAATATTCTAAGAGAAAGAAAAATCCCAAGCATGTAAGCCCTATTAACTACACAATATAAGAACAAGGAGTTAATTTCAACAGCCACAAACAATTTTTCAGAAGGGATACAAATCAGCCTCAAAGACTGAGGAGCACTGACCACAAAGTTCAATTTAAAAAAAAAAAAATTAAAACCAAATTTGTGAAATTGCATTTCACAGTGTTGTTGTTAGGGAGCTCTGGGGCCTACTTGTAAGAAGTTGTGCTGCAATCCCAAAGGCACGTGGTTCAAATTCACCCGCTGCTCTGGGCGAGAAGGATGGGGAAGCTCCTTCCTTGTGATCGATTATCTGCCTCTGAAAAGCAGCTCCAAGATCAACTACGGGTCATTGTCGACTTGATGGCAAGTTGACTAAAACTCATAGCAACTCTGTGAACACCAGATCTTGTCCTACAAGTGTACAGACTTCTTTAAAAAAGTGCCTTCAAAGGTCACGATGCTGGGAGGGAAAAAAATCCCAGGAAAAGGGAATGCCAACCTGGGAAGAACTGATGGAAGAACAGTGTGGCTATGGCAGGAACAGAACATATAGAACTATTCGAAAGAGGAAGAGGAGAAGGGGGTGGAAGAAGGAAGAGAGGAAAAACATTAATTCTATGAAACACAAAGTATATGAATGAATGTATAAAACACATGAATGAAAAAAATAACAATGATACACACAATTGTGATTTGTTATTGGTAGGTCAAATAACTGACATTAGAGTCTCTGTTCCATGAGCCCTGGTGGTGCAATGGTTAAAGAGCTATCTACTAACAAAAAGGTGAGAAGTTCAAACCCACCAAATGCTCCCAGGAGAAAGATGCAATAATCTACTTGCATGAAGATTGATAACCCTGGAAATCTTCATCCTATGGGCAGTACCATCTGACCCTGCGTGGTAGATACAAACTGGAATCTATTCAGGGCAAGTGCTTTTGGTTGATCTCCCCTCCCTTCCTACTACTGTGATTATAAGCACATAAACCTCAATAGAGCAGGAACTCCAGTAAAGATTGAGTTTTTGTTTTCTACCAGCCTAGCTGGATGTATTTGGTAGGAAATGTGCTTTAATAAGCAATAGTTCTTTAATAACCATTTTGGTGGAGTAAGGATTTTAAGATACTCTGGCGGGCTGTTATGTTAGCATGAAATCTACCATGGTAATGTTTAATGGCAGCTTTGAATGTTATATGGGAAAAAAAGACTAGAAACAGGAGTGGCATTCACTTGCTAAACAACATGCCTTGGGAGACGCTATGAACTTTGATAAATGACGATAGTTATAGAAAGGCTTCAGGCCTTTTGTTCATAGGGGTGCTATGGGTTGTTCTCAACGGCAATCAACAACAACAACAAGGGTAATATTGGTTTACATAGGTTTAAAACAAAGTCTCCCATACATCAGGCTGTGTAATAAAAACAAATCCTTAAAAATAAAGATTAAAAATTTTACTTAAAATACACAAGGAGTAAATATGCATATCTTTAGAAGTGATAAAGGAAGACAAGCAATTTGCACTTGGGAGGTAGAAAAGTGTAATGACTTTTCCACAACTCATAAATTACTGACGACCCTTGAACAATGCTATGGATTGTAAAAGCAAGGCTAGACAGTTCTTTGAAAAAAATTAAGCTGAATGGAATAATCTAGCATCAATGTTGTCACATTGCCATCACAGCAGAACTGACTCTCGCAGACCCTCCAACGGGTTTGCAGAGGCACAGATCGCATGGAAGGACATGGGCCGTCTGTCTCCCATGGAGCCGTGGGAGGATCTGAACTGCTTGCCTTTAGGGGAGCAATGCAACTCTTTGGCCTTCAGAGCTCATGTTCATCACAAAACCCCACACGCTAAGAGTTGAGAGCCTTTTTATCAACCTTCATCTCCACTGAATTTCCATCTTAACGTTTCAATATCTCAACAGTATCTGCTTTTTTGTCCAAATGAAAGCTCTCTGTTGTGAAGATTTCCTCTCCTTTGTTTTCAGACATGGAAGCTGAGAAAACGAATTATTAAATTATTAACTTTATTAAAGTTAACAATCTCAGCATCTCTCCACGGAGGAACTTGCAGTCTTATAGTAATTTTTTTTAAATTTTTTTTTCTTTGAAGCTTTATTTTCCTTCTTTATAAATCAGGAAAGCTCAAAGTCAGTAACTCTGAAATATGTGTGATCAAGCCAGACCTGTAACCTCAAGGTTCCTTCCTATTTTAGAGAGTGTTTCTACAGATTTACATGTGGGAAATCCAAGGTCTAGGGAGGCTGTAGACCCCAAGTCATTGCCAGCAAGCTGAGGAGCAAGGATGCACACTGAAATCTGTCCATAGACACGTAGTTCTTTTTCTTTGCAGAACACCACTGCTTTTCACATTATGACGTCAAAGCACTTCCTACTCACCCACTTGAAAACACTTGAAAAGACATAGAGTAGAACCCATCTTGCCCCCACTTTAACATCAAGCTTCAACTGCAATCTCTGGAGCTTCTCCTTTCATTTCACTTTGCTTTTCATTCTTACTAGTCTCACAGTGTTTAAAAGATAAAAGTAAACAGCTACTAAACTTGGGAAGGAGCCACTCCATAATGTTGTTCCCAAGAAGTCAAAATAACTCTCACACTTAAAAAAAGAAAAATACAGAAAGAGAAGAAGGGTGGGAAAAAACTGAAGTAATAAACTGAAGAATAGCAAAAGGAACATTTCTAATCATTCCCATGTGACTCTTCCAGGGACAGGCTGTGCGAGCTTCTGAATGTTGAGACGACAGCCTCCAGCAGGACTTCAGAGCAGCTGCTCTGAGCATCACTCCTTATGTGACAGCCAGTTAAGGGTTCAATTTTTGATGCCACGGACAATTTGGATGCAGAGCATCAAGAGGAACCATCTAAAAGCAGAGGGCTAAAACCTCAGGTAGCGTGGACAAGTGAAACTCTTTCTTATAGTCATTGAACAGCTTTCAACCAACAGTGACAATAAAGGAGAAATTTGCTTCCTAAACAACATGTGTCTCTATGAACTTTGATAAATGTTGATAGTTGTAGAGGGGCTTCGGGCCATTTGTTCATAGGGTTGCTATGAGTCATGCTTGACTTGAAGGCAATCAACAACAACAATGAATGCAAAAATAATCAAACAATGTTATTACTATCACACACAAGCAAAATATTGCTGAAGATCACTCAAAAATGGCTGGAACAGACAGGGAATTGCCAGGAATTAAAGTGGAATTTAGAAGAGGCAATGGCACCGGGGATATCATTGCTGATGTCAGATGGATCCTGGCTGAAAGTAAGGAATACCAGAAGAATGTCTACTTGTGCTTGATTGACTATACAAAGGCATTTTGACTGTGTGGATCATGAGAAGTTGTGGCTGACATTGAGAAGAATCCCAGAGCACGTAATTGGGCTCGTGAGGAACCTATACCTGCAGCAGGAGGCTGTTGTGTGAACAGAGCAGGGGAGCACTGCTTGGTTTGGAATTAGAGTGTACATGGGGGATGTATTCTGTCTCCATACCTGTTCAATATATATGCTGAGCAAATTATCCGAGAAGCTAGACTCTATGAAGAGGAATGTGGCATCAGGATTGGAGGGAGACTCATCAATAACCTGCATTATGCAGATGACACAAACTTGCTTGCTGAAAGTGAGGAAGACTTAAAGCACTTGTTGCAGGAGATCAAGAAATGCAGCCTTCAGTATAGATTGTGTCTCAATATCAAGAAAACAAAGATTCTTACCACTGGACCAATAGGTAGTGTCATGACGGATGGAAAGGGGATTGAAACTGTCCAAAACTTCATTTTGCCTGGATCCACACAACTAACACCTTTGGTACGAGCAGTCAGGAAATAAGGAGATGCATTGCAATGGGAAAATCTACAGTGAGGAACCTTTCCAAATTATTTTTTTTTTTCCTTTCCAAATTATTGAGGAGTAGTGATGTCAGTTCGAGGACTAAGGTTCATCAGATTCAGGCCATGGTCTTTCTGATTACTAGCTATGCATCCTAGACCTGGACAATGAGTCAGGATGACAGAAAAAGGATTGATGCCTTTGAGCTGCGGTGTTGGAGAATAGCATTGAATATTCCATGGATGACCAAGAAAATGAATGGGCATGTCTTGGAGAAGGTGCAGCCAGAATGCTCTTTGGAGGCAAAAATGATGAGGCTTCGCCTCACATACTTTGGACATATTGCTAGGAGGTGCTATTCCTTGGAGAGGGACACAATGTTGGGAAGGGTGGAGGCTCGGCGAAGGAGAGTAACATCCTCAACCAGGTGGATTGACAATGTGACTGTTGCAAGGGGCTCTTGTGTGTCAGGAAATGTGAGGATGGCATAGAACAGAACTGGATTCTATCTTTTGTTCATAGGGTCGCCATGAGTCATACTTGACTCAATGGCACCTAACAACAACAATGAATGCCAAGTAATAGATGCCTCAGCTGCACTTTACTTTTGGTTTTAGAATATTCTAGAACTTATGCCATTTCTAATTATTAGTCTGCTCTGTTAAGGTGGCTGCTGCTGGTGACCGTATGAACAACAGAACAAAATATTCCTGTGCCATCAGCCTGATTACTTGCCAGTCAGACGGTTGTGACCCACTGGATTTTCACCGCCTGATTTTTAGAAGTAGATTGCCAGGGCTTTCTCCCTAATCAGTGTTAGCCTAGAAGCTCTGCTAAGAATGGCTTAGTGTCATAGCAATGCCTCCTCTGGCCAATCAACGATGGCTGTTCAAGCGGTCAAGAACTGAATCTGAATCACCCATGTAGAAGGAGAGAATTCCACCACTTAACCACCACTGTCCTCAGTGAAATCTAGATTTCTAGATTAGACTAATATTATTAAATTAAGTTTTTTCGGTTTTTTGTTTGTTTTCCCCTTCAGCTGAAGTTTCTTGAAAAGGAGGGCACAGATAGATTATCCAAGAAGCCTTCTGGAAGTTGAATTGAAGAATGGATAGGCCATGAGCAAGGCAAAAGTCACCTTGATTGCCTTCATCCTGCTTGGTGAGGGAGGTAATGCTGGAACTTGGAGATTAAGATTTAGAATCCTTCTAATTGCTTAATTCACCATGTTGTTATGTGCTGTCGAGTCTGCATCTTAACCTATTGCCACAGCCACTGCGCCAATTCAGAATTCAGCCTGTTGACAGTCTTCTTCTCTTGTTCTAGCCTTCCAAGAATGATGTCCTTTTCTAAGGACCTGCCCCTCTCGGCATGTTCTCCAGGAAAGACCTGTTTGTTCTCTTGGCAGTCAATGGTATATTTAATACTTTTCTACACCGTAATTCAAAGGTATTGATTCTTCTTCTGGTTTCCTCAGTCACTGTCCAGCTTTCAGATGCATATCAAGCAACTGAGAAGGCCATGGCTTGGATCAGATGCATCTTAGTCTTTAAAATGACATTTTTGCTCTTTAATGCTCTGGAGAGGTCCCTAACAGTAGATTTTCCCATTGCAACAAGTCTTTTAATTTCCTGACTGCTGGAGCCAAGGGTGTGGATTTAAGCAAGATGAAATTATTAACAACTTTAATTCTTTCTCCAGCTATTAGAAAGCTATCTAGTGGTGAGAATTTCTGTTTTCTTCATGTTGAGATGCAATCTGTTTTGAAGGCTTTAGTCCTTGATCTTCTGCAGCAAGAGTGTCAAGTCCTCACTTTTGGGAAGCAAGGTTGTGTCAACTGCATGAAGAAAGTTGTTGATGAGTCTTCCTCGGATCTTGATACCACTTTCCTTTTCATAAAGTCCAGCCTCTTGAATGATCTGTTCAGCACATAGATTGAAACGGTCTGGGGAAAGGATACATCCCTGGCACACTCCTTTCTTCATTTTGAATCATGTTTAGTGTTCCCTTGATCTAGGTATAGGTTTGGCGTGAGTACAATCAAGAGTTCTGAAATTCCCTTTCTTCTCAGTGTTAGCCACAATTTGGTGTGATCCACACAATCAAATGTCTTTTGATTTTGAATGCAGTGAATGTAATGAGAAAATTTGCATGTGAAGCTGAACTGCGACACTAGTGTATCAAATGCGAGACGGGTTACCCACGGTGTTTGGTGGAGCTCCCCGATTAAAACAAGCTTGGAAGCAGGAGTGGCATCCACTTCCAAAATAGCTTGCCTCTGGAAACCCTATGAACCTGGAGAAAAGACGAAAGTTATACAAGTGTCCAAGTCTTTTGTTCATAGGGTCGCTATGAGTCATCTACTACTCGAGGGCACTTAACAACAACAACAACAACAGCATAGAGAGATCAGTTGACCTAGTGGACAGAAAGTGATAATGCCAAGCCAAAGGTGGGTGACTCTAATCACAGCCCTAAAGCCTGTTTTAAATTGTTGTTGGTCAAACAGTCTTCTAGGTTGTATAGCCCTGGTGTGTCCACTTGCTGTACAGAGGTAACTTGTGGTTGGTGTGAAGCTGAGCACTGTGACACTGATGTGTCAAATGCGAGACTGGTTACCCATGGTGGACAGTGTTTGGTGGAGCTTCCTGATTGAAACAAGCAGGAGTGGCATCCACTTCCGAAATAGCTTGCCTCTAGAAACCCTATGAACCTGGAGAGAAGACAAAAGTTATACAAATGTCCAAGTCTTTCGTTCACAGGGTCACTCTGAATCACCTATGACTTGACGACACTTAACAACAACCACCACCACCACCTAACAATTAGCCAGTATGAGTTTCTCAAGAGAGAGCTTGGTAGACTAATCCCGAGGGAGTTGAGCTGCTAATCCAAAGGCAAGATCTCTCTGCTGGTTTGAATCAATCAGGAGATAGATGAGAAATCTCCTACCTTCTGATTGACAGCCTCCGAAAACCCACTGGAGGGTCAAGTATGGATAACCCCCAAGTTAACAGCAAAGTTTTTTTTTCTCATTTCTCAAGAGAAAAAGGGTCTGCCATATTACAACTAAAAACTAGAAAAGCACAAATATTTCATTGCAGAAGGAGAACAAAGCAAACTATGGGATTTTAATAAAACTATGAAGAAAGGGATATAGGAAATATGAACGAGGGAGAAAAAGGAATTTCAAACCCTGTGTCCATATGTGAAATGATATTTGCAAAAATAAAAGGGAGTGGCTGGAGTTTATTAACAGTGCTGGGGAGGGAGTTGGGGGTTCAGGCAGCTTTTTCACTGCCAGCGTCTGCTGATAATTCGTGGCTGGATTTTAGGACTGAAATGAGTGAAGAGATGATTTCAACTCACACACACTGCCCACGCACTCCCAGGCCCGCTCTCACCTGTGTCCATCTCATCCACGTTGCTGAGGAAGTCTTCCGGAGTGGTGGGGACACTGTAGGACCCCAGTCCCAGGCCACTGTCTGTGCTCTGCTCCCTAGAATGATATGGCCCTCTGAAGAGCAAAAGAGGGTACAGCATCAGCATAGGCTCATCAAGCAAACAGTCACGAAACCCTAAACCAATACAGCCCTTCCTGCTCAGCTTCCCCGCTCAGGAAACAAACGTGGGTCCTGAGTCTCCTTTCTCCTTTGAAGCATAAACCCACTGACAGTAAATGGACACGGATTCTCTTTTCGTCTTAAGACAGCAATTTGAAGATGGGTGGAAGGAGGGGTAGGTAAAAGAAATGGGAAAGCTCCCATGTGAAAAACAATGTATACGAACTTTGTAAGTTAACCAGTATAAAATAAAAATTTTATTTAAGCGGGGGCGGGGGGGGAGCTTTGCTAAACACTGCTGATACTGTTGAAATCTTTGAGTTTCTTCACAGAAAATTTTGACTTAAATGTCCAAGAATTTCACTTTCCCACATAGGTAACAATGGTTAAAAAAAAACTGGCTGCCTTTTTAAACCTTTTTTCTTCTATGATTTTTATCCTACATTATCCAGAAAAGAAATACAAATATTAAAATATATAACTGAAAAGAATGTCCAGGTTGACAACAAAAGACAATGTTATCATTTTATTATTTTTATTAGTATTCATTATTTTATTATTTTTACTCTTCAAAATTCATAGAGTTTGTGATTTATATTTAATGAGAATAAAGTCAAATTTCAATTGAGATAATGGGGAAAACAAACAAAAAAGGCAATTTGAATACTGTTCTACATATAGATACAAATGAGTTTTGGGTTTTTTTTATAAAATTTTGTTTTTTTATTCTTTTTATGTGTGTGTACTGCCAAATCGGATCTCACTGGTACAGGAGGAGATTGCCCCTCCTTCTCCAGCAGAGCATCTGGTGGATTCAAACCACGTATCTCTGGGATTGCAGTGCAGCTTCTTGCCACTAGGCCACCAGAGCTCCCTACAAATGAGTTTTTAAATCAGAAAATTATAGTGGGTATGACTTACAGATACACACACATGCAGGGAATAAAAAGCATAAGTATCTGATGCACCTTTATCTCCTATCTTTACCCCACCCCCTACACTGCCCACTAATTAACTTTGGACACAGTAATAATAATAAATAATAATAAATTCAGGACTAACTCATTCATTTCCACAGAGGAAGGAAGAAAGGAGACTTGTGGGGAAGTGAAGATGGGGCTAAGCTATCATTTAAAACCATCAAATGGAAAGAGGCCAAATCTGAGTGGTGAATCCACCGGCAAACCCATATTGCTCTGTATAATTTTTCCTACATTTGAAACACTTTTCAATCAATAACTTAAAAGTCTCTCATAATTGTATTTCTTTACTTACCAGGAGCTTTTATAAGAGTAGGAAACGGTATAAGAAATAGCGTTTTTAAAGCTGTAATTAAGGTTGATTACTTCTATTCATGATTATATGTCTAGCTAACTGGTCTAGTTGCAAGAAGCTGTGCTGCAAACCTGAAAGCACACAGTTCGAGGCCAAAGATGGACAATCTCCTCCTCTGTGATAAACTGTCTCTGAAGACCCACTGGAGGGTCATCTATGGGTTGGTTCTGAATCGAGGGGACACAACAAAAATAATAATTTGCCTTTTACTTCTCAGTTCATTTTTTTTAAATCCCTTTTTAAATTTAAATCATTTTTCAAACTTCAAAATTGTTTCAGAGTCACAATGAACTAGCAAAAAAAAAAATTCTCATGTATCTTTCACTCAAATTCCCCCAGTGATAACATCTTTTATAAGCAGAGAACAGTTCTCAAAACCAGGAAGTTGACATTGTATAATGCTATTAGCTAAACTATAGACCTTACTCTGATTTCACCATAAATATTATCTTACAAATGTTTTGTTCTCTAATTGCCATCTGACATATTTTTGGGTTTTTTTGCTGTCTACACAAAACCACAAGACTCTTCCAAATAACTACTACACAACACCATCTTGCACAGTTCATCTCCAAATACAAATTTCTGACTAGGGGCTTACTCCATGTCATGTAATCAACTTTTGAAATTGCAAATTTAAGTCACCCAGATGTTTTCTTCCCTTCCGTTCTCTCCCAGCACCTCCCTTCACTTTCTTTCTCTTCTCTTCTCTTCTCTCTCTCTCTCACCTCAATTCACCCTGTAAGCTTTCTACATTTTTCCAACATAACCTAAAACCTATGAAACTCCAGACCAAATAACAAAGAAAGCAAAAAAGAAGTGTCCCCCAACTATTAACTTACCCATTGAGGAAAGGATCAGAGCCATTGTTACTGATGGATCTCACGTCAGGGTTCATGGCAGGTGGGTTGACCACAGGAGCTTGCATGGAGGCCAGGACCTCAGCTTCCATGGGGAGCTGCCTACAGAGAGCAGCTTCCTGCAGGAATATGACAGAGGAGAAGGAGGAGTTACTCACCCAGCGCCATAAGAACTGGAGCAAAGTATGTTTCATGGCATTACTTCTCACCAGGAAAAATTACTTTCTCTGGAAAACATCTTAACTAAGGAGTCACATTGTCAATTTTGGTAAAATTAAGGAGAAGCTCTGCTAATACTTGACCTCTGGGCACTCAAGAACTAATTGTCCCTCGCTCCAACTGTCTGATCACCCCATCACATCTAGACTTCTCAATAAGGCTCTTATACTCCAAGTTCTTGGTCAAATCACACCGGCCTTTGTCATTCTCAGGTCAGTAGAAGTGTAAGATGACCAAGCTCAGGCTTTATATTAAATCACATCTGACAATTTTACGTCACAAGTCAGGACAGTAAAACAATCAACTGAAACATCTGTTGTCAGTCAGTTTTTCTTCTTGGCTATATTTATTGATTAAAATGACCATGCATTGGAAAATCATGCAGACGTCACTCAAATACCATTGATGATTAATTGATATAATGTTGTTGTTGACTGCTATCGAGTCAAGCACAACTTATAGACACCCTATGAATAAAGGGCCTGAAGCCTTTCTATAACTATTGTCAAAGTCCATAGAGTTTCCAGAGGCATGTTGTTTAATATTAGAAAAAAAAAATGCACTAGCATCATTATTTTCTTTTTAAGCCAGCATTATGTTGTTAAAAAGAATCTAAAAAGTGGCAAATTTATTGAATGAAACTGGATGGTGAAGAGATCGAGATTGTTCACAGCTTCAGTTTGCTCGGCTCCACAGTCAATGCTCTTGGCACCAGCAGTCAGGAAATCAAAAAACGTATTGCAATGGTAAAGTCTGCTGTTAGGGACTTCTCTAAAGTACTCAAGAGCAACGGTGTCTCTTTGGAGACAAAGGTGCGCCTGATACAGGCCATGGTCTTTGCAATCACTTGTTATGCATCAGAGAGCTGGACAATGACTAGGGAGGACAGAAGGAGAATTGACGCCTTTGAGCTGTGGTGCTGGAGAAGAATATTACAAACATTCATCCTGGAGAGGGTTAAACCAGGCTGCTCCTTGGAAGCAAGGATTCTGGGGCTTCGTCTGACATACTCTGTACATGTTGCAAGGAGAGACAGGTCTTTGGAGAGGGACATCATGCTGGGTAGAGTAGAGAGGTATATGCAGGAGGGGAAGACCCTCCATGAGGTGGATTGATTCAGTGACTGGGGTAATCAGGATGGGTGTGTCAGAGGCAATGTGACTGGCACAGGATAGAGCAGGGTTTAGGGCCTGTTGAACATAGGGTCTCTATGAGTCGCAAACAACTTGACGGCACATAACAACAGCAACAACATAGCTTCCCTGTGTTGGCAAAAACAATCACACAGGACATTCCTTTTCCAAAATGCTACACTTTCAAATCAACTATGAGATATCATCTCACCCCAGTCAGAATAGCAAAATTTAACAGAACAGCAAGCAAAATCTGCTGGTGAGGTTATGGAGAAACTGGAACCCTTATTCACTGTTGGCGGAAGTGTAAAATGGTGCAACCCGTGAAAGCAGTATGGCGCTTTCTCAAAAAAGTTGCAAATAGAGATACCATTTGACCCAGCAATTCCACTAACGGGAATATACCCCAAAGAGACCACAACTGACATCCAAGCAGATATATGCACACCCATGTTTATCGCGGCTTTGTCCACAATAGCAAAGAGTTGGAAACAACCTAATTGCCCATCAACAAACGAATGGATAGAGAAGCTGTGGTATATTCGCACAATGGAATACTATGCTGCATTGGAAAACAAGGAACCCATGCAATATTATTCAAAATGGGTGACCCTGGAGGACATTAGGCTGAGTAAAGTATCTCAGTCACGAAAGGACAAATATTGCATGATACCACTATTGTAAAACAGGACTGACAGTGGGGTTGGGGGGAGACTGAGAAGGATGGGTTCAATAATGTATACTGCATTGAAACAGATGAGGGAGAAAGCTGTTTAAAAGGGATATGTGATTAGGTATTTTTGTCATGGCAGGAGTCCAGAGCAAAGGCTGCATAGTGGAGTGGACCTGGTGGAGGGTTTGTAAAACAATGAAAGAATTTTTCTTTTACTTTTCCCAAGAGGATAGTGTATTAGTGTGGAGGGTTGGGAGGGGGAGAAAGTGTAACAATGAATGAATGAAAATCCAAAGTCTCTGTAAATTTTCATTGAAATTAGTAATAAATTAAAAAACAAATTTAAAAAAAAGCTACACTTTCCAAAAGAGAACACTCTGCTTATACTTGCATCCCAAACCAAAGTTAGGCTCTTCCCCGTGTTTATGCCTATCAGTTTTCATGTTCCAGGCTGAAGTCATTGGTCTCACCATCTCACAAACCCCAAAACCAAGGATACAAGGGCAAACAGAACATTCAGGCCATCTAAGGAAGAGTATCTTTGCCAGATCTCTTCCAGCCCTGACATGCTATGATTTTAGAGAGGAGCTGCTGTCTAGACAAGTCTTAGTGAAGTCATTGGCTATAAAAACTTTCAGTTACTGGAGTTCACGATAATGTTACTTAGAGTTATGGTCATATGTTTCTTAAAATCATGAAAGACCTACTGGAGTGATAAGAAGAAACTTAGACTGAAATAAGTACCCTGACTCCAGACCAAGAATCCTCTGGGTCACTTCTGTTCATTCATATTGCACAGAAACAAAACATGTAGGTAATGTGATTTTTATTCACAAATTCATTTAAAAAATCATGGAGATTTTCTTTAAAGGGGATTTTAGTCTACAATCCAAATCTTAGAAGTGTCTTCTGAACAAATCTAAAAAAAAATCCAATTATTTTATAATAATTGTGTTTACATGTTGGGAGAAACTTAATTTTGAAACAAAAGCTTTCTTGGAAGCATTATGTGGAAAACAATGCATAGTGTCTGCCTGAAGCTGGTTTTAAGGAACCTACAGCCCACCAGTGCCAATCCCTCTGGCACACAGCTTGAAACCACAGCTTGAAAACATCGCATCTATGATAATAATAATACCCAGATCTTCATAAACCATAAATACAAGAGCTGTTTGGATGCTGGGCACATTGTGAGGGGGGCCAGTCCTTGGGAAAAGGCATCCTGCTGGGAAATATGGAAGGTCAGAGAAGGAGAGGAAGATTCTCAACCAGATGGACTGACACAATGACTGTAACAATGGGCTCAGGCATAGGAGAGGTTGGTACAGGATAATGCAAGGTCCAGTTCTATTTTTCATAGAGTTGGTATGAGTCATAGTCAGCTTGATAGCACCTAACAACAACAACAGCAAGAACTTGTGTTATTTAAAAGAAAAGTATCACTCTATCTAAGTAGGATGACAGGGGGCTCTGGTATCACAGTCCATAGTAAGCTGTGCTGATCTCAAGACTGTGAACGGGGGCTGGACTTGACCAGCGGCTCACCTGGGGAGCGATGGGCAATCGGCTCCTGTGTGACTTTCAGTCTCAAAGTCCAATGAGTCAGTTCTCACTTCATGGAAATGAGTTTGAGTTCAGAAAAAATATTGTCACTTATTCCTAAACAAATACCTTTTTAAAACATGTTGTTGTTATGTGCTGTTGAGTTGCCTGTGACTCATAGCGACTTATGTACAACCCTAAACCCCGCTCTGTCCTGTGCCAATCTCACTGTCTCTGACACACCTACCTCGATTACCCCAGTCACTGAATCAATCCACCTCATAGAGAGGGTCTTCTTCTCCCGTGCTGTCCCTCCACCCTCCCAAGCATGACGTCCTTCTTCAAGGACTGGTCCCTCCTTGCAACATGTCCAAAGTATGTCAGACAAAGCTTCAGAATTATATTTGATAAAATTACCTTTGGAATTCTGCATAAATTCGCAATGTCTGAGCAGTCAGAATTTAAACTTAACAAGATTCATGGATACACACACACACACATTATATAAATGATATTTATTACACATATTAATAATATGAATATCTTCCTGTTCGTAATGCTACATAATATGAAAATAAATTTCATTGGGATGAACAAATATCAGACATTGGATAAACGTTGGTTTTCATGTCACTTAATCCTGTTGTTGTTTGCCTGTGGTTGTTACGAGGCATCACTAAGTTGACTTCAATTTATAGCAACTCAAAGGTCAACAGATTGAAATCTGGCTCCATCCTGTGGTATCCTCACAACCTCTGCTGTGTAGAAGCCCACTGTGTAGTCACTGTGTCAACCCACCTCATTGAGCGTCTGCCTTCCTTAGATACAAAAGTGATTTTTAAAATAAAAATCCTCTGGGGGGAGCTCTGGTGTCCTAGTGGCAAGAAGCTGCACTGCAATCCCAAAGGCACGTGGTTTGAATCCACCAGATGCTCCACCAGAGAAGGCGGGGCAATCTCCTCCTGTGCCAGTCAGATCCGACTTGATGGTACACAACAAGGAGAAAAAGAAAAAATTGAAAAAAGGGGAAAAAAGTCTATAGATTGTTAAAAAAAAACTAAAATCCAAAAGGTCTATTTATAATAATGCTGAAAGAACTTATATTGGCGAAAATGCTGCCCTATTTCACTCCATCTTAAAGTCAAGATAATCTGAAATCTTCAGTCTCAGCTGCTGTTTCCCTCTGGCCACCGTGTTATCACGAGAGCAAATGCTACTTTCCGTCTGTAGAGGGCTCACAGTATCGTCTTCCACCTTTAAATAACTCAAGAATAAGAAAGAATACAGAGAGGGTGTTGATATGCCTGGATAATAACCTTGAAATATAAACTCAGTTCACTAGAGTTAAGGACACTGGGGAGGTAAATGAAATGATACCAAAAAAGTGCTTAGAACAGTGGCTGGCATAAGAAATCACTGAATACATTTTAATCACAAACCTTGCATTATACTTTCAAAACACAAAGTAAACCAGTTCACATGTCATTCTAAGAGGTGAATGTAGATTGATAAGGTTTCACTTTGAAAGGATTAAGCCAAAGTGTGAAATTCA